GCAAAATGAAAAGCATCACTGTAATAAAGTGCTCTCAGGGAAGGCAATGCAGGACAGATCAGCTGTATGAGGACCAGATCCCTGCTGAAGGGAAAGCAGACATCCTGAAATATCTGAATATTGGATATACCTGAAACAAAGCCTTAATTACATGCAACATAAAATGGCTTACAGAGTGATTCCCTTTCCTTGACAAGAGCTGGGTCACTATTCAAGGGGTGTGTCTGCATTGCAAGGGGTGGGTCTGTCTCCAGCCTTGTACTGGAGAACAGTTTGCTACTGTCTCCTGCAGAAGGGACACATGTTGAGGATGATGCTGCAGGAGTTGGTGAGAGAATATTTTGGTACTGTGAGAGGTAACAGCTGCTAACAGACCTCGTCTTTGTCTTGCTATTCAACTGCCAGTATCCATTTCCTTTGTTCCCCAAGCAAAAGGAGGCTGTGGGGTTGAGATAAGGGATGAGGAAAGGGGCTGAATCCAAAAGATACCACATATGGTAAAGGGGAAACATTTAAACTCCTACAAGCACAGCTGTCCTGGCTGCAAAACCAAGTTATTTGTGCTGTTTTTTTGCCTGCAAAGAGCAGGGTCTGAGGATGGATGTTGACCTGCTACTCTGGCTGAGGAACTCACTTCTTTGCCGTAGTACTTCATCACCCCTTCCCTTGCTGACAGGAGAAATTTCCTCTTGTGGAATTGTCTGCGTCCCTGCCCAAGCTTCCAGAGGAATCCCTCACGGTTCCCTGCAGAGCAGACCAAGAGAAGTGTCAGAGAGCACAAGAGCACAAGAGCAGGACTGTTTAGCTAAAGGTGATGTGGACCAGTTTCAAGTCTCTTCTCCACCTGAGAATTTTGACCTCATATGAAAAAATCAGTGGAGAACTAGAGAACTGTAAGATCTGAATACACCTTGCACTTGTCTAAGTGCCTTTTCTTAGGAGCCTCTTCTCAAAGTTAGACCTAGAGCAATGACTGCACATCCAGCAGTTCAAATGTGACAAGCCAGCCTTGGAGATACTCAAAAGTTGTGAGAGAACACTGTGCTGTAGGGCTGACACCTTCTCCCTGACAATCCTTTTACCTGCAGAACAAGGATCTTGGCAGACTCGGGTGGCAACAAATTCCTCACGCTCATATTTAGCTCTAATCCATTGCTCTCTTAAAACCCTGAAAGAGGAAAACATGGATAAAGCTGATCTGCCTCTACCCTATTTTCACCAGCCAGCCAGAGAGACCTGCAGAGGGAAGAGTAGTTCAGCAGCTGTGAAAGTCTGAGCAGTGAATAACCATCAACTTACACACAGTCATCAGAGTGGGGGATGTAATAGTAGGGAGGGACTTTGGCCTCATATTTAGCTTTGGCACAGAGGTTCCCATGACTCTTCATAAACTGAAATACAAAAGAAGTTACAGTCAGGTGTGCAGCTACAAATCAATACCATGTCAAGAACTTGTATCAGAGAGAGCACTGTGCTTTTTGCTGAGTAACTCTCAGTGTGTCCCTACATACATTTATAAATTCCCTTTAGCACTGGAGTTTGCAAATTTTAGGTGGCTGAGCCTCTTTCAGTATTTACAGTTCTGGACCAAATGGGAAGGAACACAAGACTGTGGTTGTCGATTAAAAGAACAAAAGAAAATTAGGAGAAAATTTATTTCTGATCTCCCTGTTCCCTCACCTTGTCCCAGACACCAATTGTGATTATATTATTAACACAATTCAACTGAACAATGAGAGACTGAACCAATATTTAAGAAGGGTACATTGCTTTCTGAATAGAAAACACTACTTGGAAATATCTGTGGGCTTCTGAACCACAGTGAGAAGTAACTGTGCATATAAAAATACACACCAGACTGTTAGAAACACAGTCACCTATCAGTGCAATTGATTGAGCAGGTCATAAAAACACCCCTAAAGTTACCCATGGAGTTAACTTGGTTCTGTGTGGCTTTGTTCCTTTGTCCATGGTGTATGGCACAGGCATTAGGAGGCAGAGGAGGTTATGATGAAATGTGGAGAAAAGTAAGTGAATTACTGCTTTTTCCTCTGTACCTCTATCAGATCGTTCTCCCAGAAGTCCAGCACAAGGGATTTGACTCTGGTGATGCCAGGAAGATTGCGATGGATTCCAGAGCAATTCACACAAACGAGTATTCCAAGTTTGTAAGAAGCCCACTCTGGACCTAGATGCAAACACAAAGAATGAATTAATATGTAGGAAAAGGCACAGCCACTGGCAAGGGTGAAAAAGCACATCTGATGCACAGCCCAGGCTTCACATGTAATAAATACATCACATTCCACCCCACTGTTTATGGCTGTCACTTCACTATGTTCAGGGGAACAGCACCTGCTGTTCACACAGTGAACAATGTGCATTCGTAGGTTCTTTTACTGACTGTTTGCTTTAAAAATTAATGTGACTCTGCAGGCGGGTGAGTGGCAATGGAAAAGCTCAGTGAATTATCAGCCCTGCACGAAAAGCTGCTGTTGCTGAAGTAACAATGGAAGGATGTTGTGGGCAGTCAGTACTACTGAGAGTACAACCCAGTACAACCACCCACAGTGAGGGCTCGTGTCCAGTGCCCACGAGGGCTCCTGCTCTTTCCTGCTGCTGCATCCCCGGAGTGGCCTCGACAGGTGCAGCCCAACAGGCATCGATGCTCCGGCAAGACCATTTCCTCGGTCTGCACCGCCCTCCACTTCTCCCTTATCACACCCAACAGAAGCTACTTGTCGCCTTCTTCCAGCTACAGTTGGCTCCCAGTGACCCGCCCGCCCGGGCTCTCCGGGGCTCCTCGGCGCCTTTCTCTGCCCCAGCCCCCGAGCAGTGACACCCCCGGGCTGGAAACCCACCCCGCGCACCCTCCTCCTCCTCCCGTGCCCGTCCACGAGTGACCCGGGGAGGCGGCGGGTGCCGAGGCCATTTCCTGACCCCGCTGCCCTGCCCTCGCTCCGCGTCCCGGGGCAGTGTCCCCGCGAACAGCCCGCGCGGCCCCCCCGCTCCCATCCCCGCGGGACGCCGGTAGCGCGGGTGGAGGCGGACGGAAAGCCGCGGGCCGGGCAGCGCTGAGTGGGCGGCGGGACCCTCCGAGCGCCGCCGCTGCCCTCAGGCGCCGGGCGCGGCCGCCGTACCATGGCCGCCCGCAGTCCCGTACTCTGGCCGCCCGCCAGTCCCGTAACCTGGCCGCCCGCAGTCGGGCGGGCAGCGGTCTGTAATGCGGTGCCGCTCGCCCTCCTGGCAAAGCTTCCCGCAGCAGCGCCTTGCTGCGCTCGTGGTCCATCCGCCGCCCGGGGCGCGGCGCGGAGCGCTGAGGGAAATTGAAGGCAACGCGGCGCGGCCCACGGCCCCGTCTGCCCCGCAACAGTCCCCCGGCGCCGGCGGGCGCGGCGGGGCCGCCGCCTGCAGGGGGACGCGCGGGGGCGACGCCTCCGGACCGGCCCCGGCCCGCGGCCCCGGCCCCGTCCCGCCGCCCCAAACGGCTCAGGAGTTCTCACGCGGCTCAACACCGGGACAACGGAGCATCTCAGGACTACTGAAAATCCCATTTCCTACTGAAATTCCTACTGGATTCCTGCGAGCTCCTCTTCCACGTTACAGCCAACGCCAAAAAGGCCGGGACTTAGTACTCACTTCAACCAAGAGAAAAACCTGAGGGAAAGATTTTCAAGGTTAATTAATTTCAGACATAGATGAAGGGGTATTCAAATATTTTTCATTTTACTAGTTTCAGGCTGAACTTAATTTGCGTTGCTCATTTGCATTGCTAGAGTACACTGCAATACGTGATGCCTCTTCAGTAAAGTTAATGTACAACCTTGTAAAAACACTCTAATTTTGTAGATGACTAAATACTGCACGTGTTAGCAGTTGAAAGTGCTGACACATTATACACTAAATACTACAGGTGTTATCAGTTGAAAGTTCTGACGTGTTTTTTCCATCTTTTAGGTGCTAAGGAGCATTGCACCTTTTATTAGTTTGTAACTATTGTGAAGCTGAGAAACAAATGGCAGCAGAACATCTGAAAAGTTGAGTTGTTCAACCACTTGCACGGAATCTCTTTTCAGCACTTACCCTGTAGGAACTGGTGGGTACTGGAATATAAACACAGATTTCATTTTCCCCATGTTCTTGCAAGCCACGCACCGATTTTTGTGGTGTCCTTACAATTCCTATGGAATAAAAGAAAGAATCTGTATGATTTGCAAAGTGGTCATTTATATTATCTTTTACAAAGACTGAGGTAGTCTGCTTTTTTTCTTTGTTACTCATAGGAAGGTAGAATAATGTCACCCTCATTTACACTCTGGAAAGCAATATTGGAATGACAGTAAAGGGAAAGAAAAGCTTGGAATTTGACTGAGATTTCAACAAGAACAATGGGGTTGTTGGTTTTCTGTTTTTTTCAGTTGCTGAACACCTACTAATAACTGCTGCTTAAAGGGGGGAGTCATTGTGAAACTCCAGGGTTGTTTTACTTCTGGTTTCACTGAATTCCACCCAAGACACACAAGGGAGCTCGAGGGGCAGTAGATAAAGGACTAAGCAGGGCCCAAACTGTTGCAGGAAACTATTTTGAACCAAAGGCAGGTGAATTCCACAGTACAAGGATGGAGCTTCCAAGCAGACTTAATCAAAACCAGCCCCAGGGCCCTTTTCCTCGAGCCCATCCCTCCTGGAAACTTGTTTTACTCCAGCATACAAAAGATGCTCATACCTGATGCATAAAAATCCAAAGCTGATAATTTATCAGAACTCAAATAAATCATTACATGCAGATTATCTTCATTCAGAGTAGCTCGAGGTGATTTGATGTGGAGAGGATCTGATCAAGAAGTGAAATACTTGAATTCCACCTCACCTTTTGGACACCACAGGAGATTCTGTAAACAACTTAAGGCAGTTATTAAAACCTCAGAGTTGACTTCAAAAGGAGGTAAATTGTCTCCCACTGCTTTCTAATTTATAAAGCAGTGAACAGATTTGCTTTGTTATTAAAAAAAAAGTGTATTTATTTATTTTTACAAAAATGTACAGGAGGAGCACAGACCATCAATGCAACAAATCATCAACCCACTAAGATTTTAACAGCACCCACTTTGATTTTTGGATAATTCTGAACTGTGGAAAGAGTAAACTCTAAAGATTATCTACAATGTGAAAGCTTAAAATAATTTACCATTTTCATAAATATTTCTTATTCCTGAATATCTTTAAGGCATGAAAAATATGGGAAGAGAATGTACTAGGAAATGCCTTCCTTATTATTACAGAGACATTGAGGTAAGTGGAGCAGCACTGCATGGCAGGATCTGACTCAGTATGAGGAACAGGAACAGTCCAACTGCAATATAAAGGCAGAAAAGTACATGGCTGAACTAATTCCAGTTTTAAAACCCTCTAAAAATCATCTCTATGGCCTGAAAACGTTTTATAAATCTTACTTTTCATACAACAGAAACATCCAAAGTTGTAGCAAAGCCTCACAATTTATTGTCGTACAAAACCAGAATCAATCCAAATAATCAGGCTGAAGTCTTGTCCAATACAAAAAGAAGCATAAAAATAGAACACAATATATAAGGCTAGAAGTAGTTAAATATTCCTGAACCCACAGTAACACTGGAACAATTGTTATTTACAAAATCTTGCCTAAATCTCTGAGACCATCTTGAGCTACAGCGATAACTTCTCTACCTTTTTAGATTAACATGCAGATCTGACAGCTGTAAATGATGAAAGGAATATACAAATATATGTACAGCGAGGCACTGAGTGCTTTGCAAGGACTTTGTTCCCTGTGGTTGTTGTGAGGAGTTGGGTTGAGTCATTCACACTTCAGAAGACTTGTTGCATCCTCTCCTGCCCCCTCCCACCCCGAGTCATTGAGCACTTCACTCACAGTCAGAAACAAACTGCTCTGAACAAAATGGTCTCCTTTGCTGTGGAAGTTGTGACACTTGGTTGCTACAAAAGGACTTCTTGCTGTCTGACACCCAAATTGAAGGATTCCCCATGGAATAGTCTGTGCATTTAATATTATAAATGCACTTATTGGACCAGCACCAAACAAACCCACATTTCAGCTGTGGAGAGCAATAGCACGACAATAGATATATACATTACTTTAAATACTTATAAAAATTTAATATACAAATGGCTCTGAATATACAATAATGTGGTAAAAAAAGATTTAAAAAACCCCAAAAACTATGGTGAGAATACCACCATTAGGCACAAAGTATTTCTGGTGTTAGCAATTCTAAGGGAAGTCCAAAGACAGACCATTTATCATTTGTCTGGGTATTTCGAGATGAATCCCTTCAAGATAATGCAAGAACCTATAAAAAAAAAAAGAAAAGCAAAAGTGATTGTAAGGGAACAAAGTTAATTGCTGAATGAGGTAACACTTCTGTTATTTTGAGAGACAAATGCCCACCTTTCTTGTCTGGAATTATTTTGACAAAATATTTTATTAAAATCCGTAACTACCTTGAATATTGAAATGTAGGAAGGTTTAGGAAAACCAAAACTTACCTTCTTTTAGTCTTCCCTTGCTCTTTAAGCTTCTCAGACCTACAGATCCCACGGAGTGTGGGGAGGTATTCCAGGATGCTGGCCTGCTTGTTCCCCAGGTTCAAAGGGCTTCTGGAAAACACAGTTCTGATGACAGCCAGCCTCTTCTGTGCCTTTCTGTGAATGCTGAAACAGAGAACGAAGCTTTATTGGGTCTTGTTCAAGAATGTCCTGATTTTGTTTCTTTAGGATCACACGTACTGGTTTAAAACTCTGTTAAACACATGGATGTTCAAAACTGCATCCCAAAGGATGAGATGTCTGCAGGTCCTGGGTCTGCTTGGAACTTTGGTCTGCACCAAGCAACACCCACCAACACATTTAACACAGGTTCAACATGAGCAGGTGCTGGATGACAGATCTGCATGTCCAGCACTTGCAGAATCCATTTTAGTCCATCTGTCTCTCTTGCAAAAGCCATTCCTTTGGGGGGTTGTTATTTTTTTAGGGGTGGGGGTGGTGTTTGTCCATTTTTAAATTAATTAGACTGAGGCTACCATTTCTGAGTAACATTATAGTCAGGCTATTCAAACAAAAAAAGTCACTTTTTGCAGATTAAGTAGTTAATTTAAGCTTATAAAACATATTCCAGTGTTTTGAGATATACTGACAGCAGCCATAGTGGTATAAATGTGTACACATTAAATCTGAGACAGTCCTACTCCCTGTGAAATGCTTTTCTTGACAAAGAACTGCATTATATTCCAGGAATATTAGCAAAGCCTTACCTTGAGTCAGCTGACTCACTGAAGGACACACCATTCCTTGTGTTTGAGATATGCAAAGTAAGTCCCTCCAGCTGATCACTTGAAGGTGTTTTCCTGGTACTCAAAAAGGATTCCAAGTTTTGTGAAATATTAACAGAACACTTGTGAAAACTGAGTGCTTCAATAGCTGCCTTTACTTCACTGGAGCTCTGGGAACTCCACCAATCAGTATTTTCTATACTGAATTCATCACAAAGACCATTTCTGATTTTGGCATTTGTCCAATGAAATTCTTCCTCTCTGGAAAACTCCAGTGGTTCCTTGGTGTTGGTGCTTACACAGCAATCCAGGAAAGACATGTTTTCCACAAACTCAGTCAGTGAATTCAGACACTGAAAAACAAGAGCAGACCTTTCTTCATTTGCTGACGTTTTAGTTTTAACTCCTTTTTCTTCTCTATTCACCAACAATTTTGATTCCTTTTTATTCATTTCAGCACATGACACAGGACTATCCAATGGCAAAGTTACGAATTCAGATGAATAGTTCAGTTCAGTATCAAATAAGTCACTGTCATCCAATATATCAAGCCTTTTCTGAGTCTTTGTCTTCTTAGACCTTTTTCCAGGGCTACTCTTCCCAGAGCAACTACTGTTGGTAGACCTGTTTTTTGAAGAAACTGTGGTAGTCCTTTCAAGTGTAGACTTAGAGGCTTCAGACTGGTTTGAAAGAACTTGCACTGGTAAGGGAAGGATAAGTTCAAGATTACTATGTATAAAATCCACTTGCTTCATCTGGAATTCTGTGAGAAGCTGTATTAATTTATTCCATTCCTCCATGGTTGTGCTTTTGTGCTGTAAAATAAGAATCACGAGAGATTTATTAATAAAATTAATAAAAATATTATTACAGAAAATCTCTCACTTCTGGCTTTGTATTTATGAGGTGAGGGACTGTTCTGTTGGCAGGAGACTGCCCCCATCCAGATTTTGCTTAATAACCACAGAACCCCCTAATTTCTACAACAAACCTTTGCAGAGATTTGCTTCTAAGAGGTTCCTAATGCTGGTTACACTCAATTATCTGGTATCATCCAAAGTATTAACTAAGCAACTCCAAAAATACCTTAAGAAATGTAAACAAGTCTTCTGAAGGCAGCAGGATGTTCCGAAGGCCAAGCAACGTCTCTACACAGCCTGTGTCACACTTTGGAAGCTCCTGCAGATGTGCATCAGCACCTGGAGGAGAATCCACCTTGGAATCATCATGTTCACAATGAATTACATCACCTGCTTCACTTGTCTCCTCTCCTCCTGCACAAAGATAACAGGTTTGACTTGAACAGAAACAACTGCACCATGAAATCGATTTTTCACCTCTTTGCCACAGTTCTTTTTGTGAAGGAAACTGTAACTGTCAGCTCTTGCTGTGGTTCTGAATGAATGCAGTGACTGAAATGAGTCACTGCCACCCCAATTCCCTGCAGGCAGTGACACCAACCTGCCTGACCTCCCTGCTTTGCAAGTGACCTTTGAAGGGGGTTGTGCCTCATGGGTCTCTCCCTGTTGGTCACTCACACCCCCAAACCTGTTGAGGATTCTCTTCCTGAATCCTTTGGGATCAAGTTCTTACCCATAAAACACCCAAACAGCCCTACCCAAATACTTAGGAGCCCTTCAAGAAGTTACCATTTATTTGTATGTGTCTGAGGATGGTTTGATTTAATCAAATTCCTGTTTAGATGGAGGTTTTTTTAAAGATGAAATCAAATCAACCTACCATGACGTGCCAGGCATTTCTCCTTCAAGCATCCCCCTCCACTTCTAACCCAAAACTGTAAGCAGAGGACACATTTTCGGATGTCACAGTTATTTGTGGTCAGCAGAGCAGCCAAGTCTTTCCCATCTGCCCGGAGGTTCTCAGCCAGGCACAGGGTCTGGAGGTAACTGGTGGCATTTACCTGCACAAGGGTCAGACACAGAGCCCTGAAACAACTGCCAGTCACACTGCACTGAGTCACACAGCAGCAAATCACTCCACTTGTGTTTAATACAGAGGATTAGTTTATTAAATTAGATTGAAGTTACATTAAAACCTTCTACAGAAAAGCAGAATACCAAATCTATGCAGTCCGTGCCAGAGAATTAAGTTCAATTTAGAAGTTCAGCTCATTAAAAACAAACACACAAACACATTCTGCTCGTGGTCCTGAAACCACATACATCTTGTTTCTTATCACCACTGAGCAGCTGTTACTGAACTATATTCATTTTAAAGGGTTTTTTTCATTCTTTCTTTTAACTCTGAACTGTCTGGAAATCCAACAGGTTTTTAGTAAGTGATTTCCCCTTCTGAAAAGTCAGTTCCTTCTGATTCTCATTTACTTATGGTTTTCAAATAATACATAGCTAAAAATACAACTATTTGCTATACAGAACACTGGTGTTTACATTCAAGGAATAACCCATAATATTTCTAAAATAGCTCCTATAATTTTAACCAATGAACATATATTGGCATAGTCAACCTTCAGATCAAAGCTATTAGATATATTATCTGTGAACTTATATATCTACATCCTAAAAACTACATTAAAAGTGATTAAGTGATGTGCTTATCATAATTCTCAGAACTACTAAATTGTTTAGAAAATATATATTCAATGCTAACAAAATAGCTTCTACATGTAGAGATAAATACATCCCACACATCCTTGCATAAACCCCATGAACAGTCTCCTGATGAAACAGGTACATGAGAAATATATAAACCTACACCAATATTTAAATTTCAAAGTGAAATCAGCTGACAATTACCTGCATTTCCAAACACACTTACCAGGGAAGGGGTTCTAAAGCTGATCTCTTCAAAAGAGCCATCAAACATTAAGCTGAAAGTTGGATCTGCATAAAGAGATACCAGGGAACTGTCAGGACATTATGTTCCAAACTAGTTATTTTCTTTATCCATTACAGCAGACAGTATCTTTATTCAAACATTAAAATCCTTTAATTTTGCATTTAGGAGCTGTATTCAACCATCACCACTTAAACCAACTTATTAAAAGAGGCTCTTCTGCCTGTAAAGGCCAATTACTGTCACAAACACTACTCACCATTGGTGGTCAGAATTACAGGTCTCTTTGCAGTTGCCATGAATGTCTTTATTGCACTTAGAAACCCTGCATCTTCATCAAATATTATATCCACCTACAGAAAACAAATGCAAAACATCAACAGCTTTTTAACAACAGCTACAAGCTGTGAAGGCAGTCAGAGTGTATTCCACATGAATTTTACCTCTTCAAATAGAATGAGGGACGTTGCACTTTTCCTGTTGTGTTCTCCCCCCTCTTCCTTGCTTATTGACTTAGTTTGAGCATCTTTCTTTTCTTCAAGTGAATTCTGAGTATTTCCTGCAGATGGATGAAGAATTGAGCAGGAAGGAGGACTGAAACCATTTAAAATGCATTCCAGGTTCAAAAACCCCCCAGGTATAAATTGCCTAAGAAAATCCACTCTTTTCTCCACACAGCCTCACACACACAGTGTAGCATCTCCATCTCCAAAGGTAACTAATTATTAAACAGGGATACCCACCTCTATTTTTTTCCTCAGCTGTTACTTCTCCATCACTTGCTTTATGTTTGGAAGAGATTTTGAAGTAGTTTGCAAGAGTTTTAGGGGCCAAGTTTCGTTTTAAACCAGCTCCTTTTGGTGACAGGGGTGGTTTTCTTGGTGAAATAACTTTCTTCGGAGAATACATTTTTTCTGCAAGATATGTTTGATATTAAACTTCAGCTACAAATATAGTGTCGAACTGACATTTCTCAGGCAAACTTAAAGCAAGCCTCATTTTTTTTATCTAGTACAGAACAGGTTTACTGTGCTGATTTCTGCTCATTTTCCTTTTCTCCTGTTAAAAGGAATGCTTTCTATTCAACTTTCTGTTAAAGTGCCACAGCCTTTACTCCACCACTACAGAAATAAGACAATCAAGAGTCAGTATTTTGATAAAGTCATTATTTAATTTGGTGTGCAGCTGTGTTAGCCAACAGAGCATTTCTTACCATTATGGCCAGATGAGCTGAAATTTGCTATCTTTTTTAAAACACCTGATGTCTAAAATTTGTTTGGGGAATTCAGTTGCTAACACCCTCCTCCCCCTCCAAAAACCTCCGTTCCAAAACTCCAACCAAACAAAAAAACCCCAGATACAACCCCTTGAAAACTTACTTGGTGACTTGGCAGTGCTACAGCTGTTGAAAAAGCAAGGCTTGTGTGCATTGACACCTTTTTTGTCCACTTGATGAGACTGAGTAGCTTCTCTCAGCTGGGACAGGATCTGCCTGCCACTGCGCTGGCAGGAGGCATTCACCTCAAAGATCTGCAGTGGGGTTGGATGGAAGACATAAAAAACCCCTGGTAGGCATCCTGTATCACAAATGCTTTTGTATCACTAGTTATTAACAAGAAAAAAGCACTGAGGAGAGGTCTCCACCCACCTTAAAGCCAAGCTCCTGAGCACAGGCATACACTGCAGCAGTTTTCCCCACTCCTGGAGGGCCAGTTATCAGCACTGTGTTGCAAAGGCTTGTCTCTTCCTCAATATCAGATTTATTATCTTTGAAGTCAAGGCTGCTCAGGGAATCTGTAGAATTATTTAAAAGAAAAGAAAGGATTATGTTATTTTTTTTGCCAACTTTTAACAAAAGAGGAGCTATATTATTTTTAATTCTATCAGCACCTTCATGCTCTTTGTCCTCTTTTTCCCCTTTCTGGTTTCTTTTTTCTTCCAAATCAGCTCTTTTTTTCCATTCTTTTAACCAACTACAAAAGGAAGAAACAGAACAAAAAATAAGAATTACTGCTGAATAAAATGAACGAAATTAAGATGGAATAGAACATAAAACATCAGCCACTTGTCATCCCTCACAAACTTATCAAGTCCCTTCAGATTTCAAAAAAACATTGTTCAGGATTTTGTACAAAAGGATTCTTTTGTACAAAAGGATTCCTTCTTCATTCTCCAGTCTATAGGCTGGTTGGTGTAAAAACAAGTCACCTGGTGAATCACTTAGTCAGATGGATCTTTGAATTCTGCAGAACTTTTTGGAGGCAAACCAAACCCAAGGCCACAAACACACCCCCTGTGTGGGTCATGCAAGCCTAGTGTTAAATAACTGACTCTGCATCTTTGAGCACAATCAAGGAACAGCAACTTCTGAGTTCTTTTAAGACTGGATCCACGTTCCCACTTCTGACCTGTGCAGCCTTTCAATCTCTTTCTTGTTCCCTACGAGTTCACTGGAATCTTGAGGCTGGTATTTTTCTGTCCAGAGCGTGTCTTCCTTTTCAACACCTACAGAAAAAACATTATCCATTTTTCTATATGCAAAAGAGTTGATCAAGCCCAGAATGTTAAGACTAGACAGGATTTTTGCATCACAGTGGAAAGCTGACAAAATCATACACACACCACACTCCCTCAATGCACAGAGAATTAAAATGAGGCAGGAAATGCAGTTACCTGACAGTGCACTTGGCTCTGATAAACATCCAGTGTCTTCTGCTTTCTGGGTCTTGCTTCTCCCCAGATGTGTGGTTTGTCCTGTCTCTGCCTGTTTTTCTCCAGATACAGGAGAAATAAGGTTCCTGGAAACTCTTGATTTTATTTCACTCTCTGTACCTTCAATTTGTTTTCTTCTCTTTGATTTGCGCTCTTCTGTTTCTTTCCTTTTCCTCTTAGTTTCCTTGCTGTTGTCAGGATGTTTCTGATCTCCCTCAGAACTTGCAGTCCCATCTCTGCTTCCTAAGGAAAAAAAAGTTACATCCTTCTAAAATTTCAGGCTCTGCCCATTACCACTGTACAGTTGTTTCAACTGTATTTGTAGAATTTGGTCAAAACGGCCTAAAATGTGAGGACCAATTGACTTCCCACAACAGTATTTTCCTTCAGTGAGGTATTTCTGACAATTCCAAGCTGGTTTTTTTTATGCCAGACACAGTGAGAGTGTTTTTCTCCCCCTACACAGATCACCAACCTTGCAGACTGTTTTCCAAACCCAAGTGCTCCGTTTGCTTTTTCAGGAACTTGTGGAAGTGTTTTTTCACAGGAAACTGGGAATTAGAAGACAGGATCTCATCCAGCAAATCCTTCCTGAATGGATCAGGGAAAACTGGTCGGCAGCCTGAAAGCTGTAACACACACACACAAAAAATTACCCACAAACATTACACAGAATGGCTGCTTTGCATAATTTAAACTGGCAGCTGTCTTGTTAAAGTCAGAGATTAACAAAAACTGAAGTTAAGAACTGTTGGGAACTGCCTAATGTTAAGATGCAAAATGAATAACTCACACACAGGGAAATAAAAGAAAAATTAAAATATTCCAGGACTGGAACAGATTCAAACTACAGGATTTTTTTAAAAAACAGAAGTCCAAACAACTACCAAAACAATTTAAATTTTGAAGTACTAACCACGGGTGCAGAACAATTTCCAGGTCGTTTTGAATTCACAGTGGAAAATTCACCAAGTGAGAGAGTGATTTTTGTGACATTGGTGACTTCAGCATTCAGCTCCCTCAGCTTAGTTAACAGAGGACAGGATGGTGACTGCAATTTCCACATTGGACAGCCTATGAAAGAACCCCCACCAAAACCAAAACAACAGTTAACTTCTATTTTAGGGGAAAGAAATGGGAAAGAAATGGGCTGTTCTTCTCTCTTTTGTGAATTATTCTGCCTTTGTCAGGAGGAAATGGTTTCTGCCCCAATCAGTCCAACACAATCTTTATTCTCCAAACTGGAACTTGACAGACCAACCTTTTTGATTAAATATTCAGAATTTTGCATCCTCACCCATATATGTTTAGACTACTTTAGCATCAATTTAATCTGTACATTTTGAATTCAAAACCATCTCACTGGAAGCTTCTAAGTTTTGTTTTCTTACTGGGACACAACACAAGAGGAAACTCCCAGCTATTCCAGCCATAAGTTGTCCAACTTTTATCTTTTCTGCACAAATTTACTAGAAATTTAAACCAAAAAGCTTAACAAGAGCTTACAGTCATCCTTCTGCTGCACATGGACAACAGTCTTAAAGCAGGAACTTGCAAGAGAATAAGCTTCCATGGCTGCTGCTTTCTTTGCAATCTGTCTTTTCAGGGACTCTGGCAACCCACTCATCAGGAATTCCCGTTTTGCTCTGAACTGATCATCATCCTGAGAGTTTTCAGATGCATCTCGGCTTTAATGAAAACAGAAAGGAAAAGAAAATGGAATCATCAGAACTACCAGTTGAATTTAGTCACATTCTCTTCTACATGAGTTAGAAACAGTCTGGGAGAACTGCTAAAATTTATTTCCATGGAGTAAGTTTATATTTCTTTTGAAATATTGTGTTAGAGATTTCAATTAAAACAAAAATCTGTTTGGTTTTGTATTTTTATATGCAATTTGGGATTTCTTTTTAATCACTCATCAATTACATTTCAGCCAATGGAACAACAATGGTTGAGGAACTCTCAAAAACCTCCTAAAATTTTGGAAGCAGGTTAACATAGTGATCAGTATAAAACCCATGAACATTTACATCACATTTCAATAAGTGTATTTAAATTTGTAAAATGAGAGAATGTTAAAGTAACTTTGAAACATGTTTTGGTTCTTAAGCAACTGGAATCTTGTGAACTGACCTGCTTTCATCAAAGATCACAATTGGTCCACCTGCAGAGTTCTGAGCATTCCTGCCCAGGCAGGAAGGTGGATATCCCAGTTTCCCTGTCAAAAGGAGAAGACATGATTAGATTAACACTGATGGAGGATTCTGACCTTGCTTCTCTGTTCACTACCTGCATGTTCCATTAAACAACAATCTCTTTTTCTTAAGGGAAACTGAGTATTTTAACAAAATTCATTACAGTTTTATTACTAATTATTTTATCACTATAGATTTTATTTTCTGTAACATTAGAGAAAAAAATCATAAATTAGAAGAGAACAGAACACAGTAAATTATCAACAGTTTTCCAAACATAGTTTGCCCTCAAAGAAGAAAAATCAAAGCAACACATGTAAATAACTTACACAAAAAGGAAATGTGTATATTGGAATACTGTGCCAAAAAAATCAGAATAAAATACGAATGCACTGCAAAGGCAGCTTTATAAAACAAAGTTACAATAGTCAATAACTGTAACAAAACCAAACACATTCAGTAAAACCCAATTACCTTTTGAGTTCTTCACAACCTTCAAGTTTTTTGACTTCTTCCCCAAAACATCATTTAAGCTCCGAAGTTTCTTTGGCTTCACACTCTGCTCTGTAGTAGTGACACTACTCACAGTGGAATCTAAAATTATTACAGATTCCTAGAGGGAAAACAAACAAAATAAGAAAGGAAACACAACTTTTCCTCCTCAATTAACAACACACTGCACGGACATCTACCTTACTTGATTCTTTACAAGAAACACTTGCAAGCCAAGAATCATTTTTGCTGCTTAAATGAGTCCCAAACACATCAGAATAATTCCTGCCCTACGAAATATAAAGCCTTACATCACTGTCCTGGGATTTTCTCCTCTCAGCAAGAGCTCGCTGGCGAGACGAGCGTCTCACAGGAGCTGGGGAGTCCTCGTGCCCCTTTGATCTATTCTGCTGTATAGCCTTGGCTTTCTCAACCAGCTGCTTGGCTTTGGATCTGTTTTTAGAAGCAGAGTTTATCTGTTAACAAAGAACAGGAAAACCAAGAGAGCAATTAATGTCTTCGCTAAGTATTTAGCAAACGAATATAATTGTTCACGTTCACTGAAGTGTAATTTTAACAAAACGTCATTGCTATCAAAAAGAAGAGGAAATAATTGAAAGGAGAAGCAAACCAAGATGGTATCAAGTTTTCAAAAGGCAGTGAGAGCCCTACAAGGGCCCTTAGTCCACAGAACACATGAAATATGGGCAGTGACATTCTTTCTGCTGTGCCCAAACAGTGTCACAGGTTGGACAAGACCTCCAGGAGCATCAAAGTCCAACCACTGACCGACCTCCAACCACCCTGGCAACCAAACCACAGCACTGAGTGCCATGGCCAGTCATTCCTATGGCCCATCCTCAGATCCTGCAGCACAGCAACCTGCCATTTATTGGGTTTTTCTGTTATGAAAAGCAGATTTGTACTAATATAACATGTTTTAAAATCTAAGGGAGAAGAAGCTATCTGGAATTCTATCATAAATCAGATCTATCATAATGCTCCCTTTCCCCAGGGCAGCTGAGAACTGTTGCACTACATTCAACTGTTACACAATATGAGAAGAACACAGTTATACACACAGAGGAAATGATAAAATACTGAAACACAAACTGTTACATAAATCACCTTTGTATTTTTGGAGTGAAACTCTTCGTTTTTCGTTGCTCCAGCTTTGTTTGATTTTTTAGCCGCACTGATACGTGTGAACCTCATCCTAATTAGGGAAAAAGTATTATGACATTATTACTGTTTAATAAAGGGAAATGTTCCTGTCCATCTCATGTTCAAAAGCCTTTAAAAATATTGTGCTGTAAACAGAAGCAACCCCCAATTGGTTTTTTGTTGTTGTTGTTGTTTGGTTGTTTGGGTTTTTTAAATGTCTTTGGTGCAAACACACTGATAATCAGTTTTGGCTCTTCTCTATTATTTTCCACCATGATCAACCATGCAAGTTTATATAACTTTATAATTACCTCTTACTTTCAAAATGCTTGCATAAAATCAAAGGGCAAAAAGGTGGAATATACTCTACAAAGTTTACCTTATTGGGCTGTTTCCATCACAGGGCACAGTGATCACCTCAGCTCTGTACATGCTGCTTTTCTTGGAGGATTGCCTGCTTGCCTTTGGGGTAGAAGCCTGTAGTGGACTCAATTCATCTGCAGAAAGGGCAGTTCTAATCCTGGCTTTTTTAGGTGTAATACTTGTGGATGTTTGGATTTTCTGCTGCCTTAAACTCCTCCTTAACTTATTCACTTTTGGACTTGATAAAATTATTACATCTGGGGTGTTTTCCACAGGAAGAAAGTCAGCACTCGAATCCCCTTCTCCCAGACAGTTGCTGGTGCTGGAGACAGGAGTTTCCTTAGTTTCTGAGGCCTTTCTTCTCCTGCTTCCTTTTTTCTGAACCTTTCTAGATCTTTTGGGTTTAGTTCTATTGCTTTTAGGGCTAGAATGTGTGTATCTGTCCACATGATCTTCTGGTATTCCACCCTCTAATTGTTTATTTGAAGGAATGGCATCTTCAGGTCCTTCTTTTTCTTTGGAAAGCTTTGCAGAGGCTTGCTTTTGTTTTCCAGGTGCCTTTTTAACTCCACTTTTTGTCCCATCTGATGTTGGTTGTCTAAAGGCCTTCATGAACTGATGCTTTTCTTCCAGGGTGCATTTTGGCTTCAAAGAATCCATCCCTGCAGTCTCTAGGACAGCCAACTCCAGCTCCTCCTCCTCAATAACCACGTTAGATTTCCTTTTCTGAGTCACCTGTTCAGTTTGCTCACAGTCCAAGAGGGGTGGGCTGCTTTCTTTCTCCCCCCCACGTCCTTTCTGCTTCAAAAAAATGGAAGCTATTTTCCTGGAGCCTTTCTGCTCTTTGTGTGAGGGAGGTAACTTGGGGGGAATGGAGTGAACTTGTGCCAGGACAGTGACTGTTCTGAGTGGTGGCTGCTGAGACTCCTCACACTTTTCTGGCTCACAAACACCATCACTTTTGTCCACTTCATTTGCTGTAGCACCAGTGCCCACTGTTGGCTTTGTGTCTTCTTCAGCATTGTTTTCTCCCTGACTCTTCAAGAAGTCCTCAAATGACACTGTTATTATACAGTTATTTACCTGTGATGTCCCATCATCCGTAGGAACCTCAAAACTGGAATCACCAGGAGCAGCATCACTCTCTGCTACTGTATTTTTCTCCTCCTCAGCTTCCTTTTTACAAGTTTCATTCATCTGGTTGTCAGATGAAAAGCTTTCAGACAAATCCATATTTGCTTTGTGCTTCCTTTTCCTCGATTTTCTTATCCTATTTTTTGACCCATTTGTTTCAGAGCCAGCATTTTTAGCATTTTTCCTGGAGAGGACAGCATTTGAGAAGTTTTCCCTTTCCACATCATCTTCTGCCAATTCTCTTGCACATTTTTGGTCAACTAGAGTACAGGTAGCAATAAAGTCACTGCTGTCTTGTTGCAGTCTTGTTGCCACTCTGCTGTCATCACTACTAATTCCTATTTCATGGTCATTCTCAGGTTCTTTGAGTTTATGATTTAAATTAACTTTCTTCCCTTTTCTCTTTCGCTTCAAAGATGGTTTAAAAGCTGACTTACAGTCTTTGTCATCAGCATCCAGCACTGGTTTATCTTCTCCATCCCCAGCTGGCAATGTGGCTTTCTCAGTTACAGATGTCTTCTTAAAATAATCCAGGATATTGTTGGGTTTTGGTGATGACAAAGCTTTATCCACTGGTTTTGCTAATGGTGAAAAATACCTTGTGATGGTTTTGACAGAAGCATCTTCCTCTCGTCGTTTCTTGCATGGCTGTAAAAAGCACAACATGAATCTTGGTTTTAAAAAACTTCAGGTGACTTAGTATGGCAATATAAAGCTGTTCAGTGATACAGATGAATGACACCGGTACTTTTTCAGAAGACAAAAACTTGTTAGTGTGCTAAGACTGTGCATGCATCAACTTTATCTCCGTGTTTTCAAAAGTCATCTAAGCTTGAAATAAAGATTTTGCCATTTCAAATAAATAAAAATCCCATCCTGAAACCTTGAGATGCTCAAAACTGAGAGGGACCCCAAGGTCTTCAGAACAGCTCTGCAGAGATTCCACAGTGCTGGAGCTCTGAGGGTCTCGGTCACTTCAGCTGCTCGACCCATCGGTAACCTCGGGGTGTTCCCCAGAGCTTTATGGGGTTTAGAAGGGAATTCCAATGTCTCTTAAAAATGTCTGATCCCACCCTGAACATCTGACTCATTTTAAGACGACCTTTCAAGTACTTAAAGAAAATGAATGAAAGAGAATTCTTATCTCGCATCGCAATTCAAACCCTCATGATCTCTTTAGGCAGAATTCCCTGTATTTTGATCTCTGATCAAAGAGCATTCACTTGTACGGCTCCAAGGGAGACTT